TCATCCCACCCTCCATAACCTTTTCCTGAAACAGACTGTGTTTAAATTCAAAGCTTCTACAATAGATTGCAGACTGCTTGCCCTCATATGTAAACTACACGAGATCAAATATTTGTCAGTGAAATGGAATCCACGAGGGCATCTGTCCTGTAAGGTCCTGGACAAGAGAGGAGTGAAGCAAGGATGTATCCTTGCCCCCTTATTATTTAATTTTTACATAAACTCCATGGTGCAGACTATCCAGCCGATTTCCATCCACCAAACAGGGCAAATAGACCAATCCAATCCCTACACTTCTATATGCAGATGACATGGTCATCTTGCTGTACACTGAAGTAGGGTTGAGAAGAGCCTTCAGGGCACTCACAACTTACTGTAAAGAGGAGCATCTAACAATCAATTTTTCAAAAACAAAAATACTTGGTTTTGCTAAAAGGTTCATTAAGCATAGGTGGCAAACTGACAGCCATAAAATTGGCCAAGTTAAAGTGTTTAGATATCCAGATCTTGTGTTTCAGTTATCTGTTTCATGGGCAGCCCATCTTTCTCCGGTAACAGAAACTGCTCAAAGAATGGCTTCAACAATGTTACGATTCTTCTTTGCAAAAGGGGGATCCCATATACCACACACATTGAAAGTCTTTCAGGATAAGGTGGTGTCTCAGCTCATGTGTAGATCACAGGCTTCCCTGTATAATGTATATCTTAAATTGGAAGCAATACAGTCCAAATTTTTTAATATCCTTATTTGGAGTGCCCTGGTGTGTACCTAATCCCATGCTCAAGCTAGAGGCAGGTCTGGTAACATTAGAAACACGACTGCTGTAATGAAACTACCTTTAAGGTAGTTCGATTTTGGGCCTTGGCCTGCTCAATCAGGCAGAAGTATACAGACTTGCTTCAACAAATTTTATTCTAGCATATGTATATTTTTGTATATTTTGTTCAGAATACGCATGACATACCACTAAAGTGTGTATGTTTTGTTGATGATATTCACTCCTGATCTTGGATCATAATACATTATTGATTGATTGAATCTAAAAAACCTTCAAATTCTTAGTCTATCCTTGCAGGAAAGAAGGACATTTTCTATTCCTATAATATAATTTTTGAGATGAGGCAGTGGCTACTTTCCCCAGGACCAGTTTCTCAACCCATCAGAAGAGTGGTGGCATACCAAGGGGGGTGGTAATCTGCCCCAGGCACATCTTAAGGAAGACCTTTGAAAGGGGCACTCAAAGCCAGAATTGTCCTGCTGCCTCAAGCCAAACGTCTTCCCTTTTATTTTTAAAATGATTGCACCTTAATTTCGTTGTACTATGTACAATGACAATAAAGTTTATTATTATTATTATTATTATTATTATTAAAATGCAGTTCTGACTGCAGACACTAGGGGTACAGTCTGAAGCTCTAGGATCGGCTAAGCTTCCCTTTTCTCAAAAAAGCTCTAGGATCAGCTAAGCTTCCCTTTTCTCCAAATAGAATCAGCTAAGCTTCCCTTTTCTTCAAGACTCAAGCCAACCATTATGCTGATAGCTGCTACAGTAATTGCCAACTTGTAGGTAATTTTCTCTGGTATTCTAGCCTTTCTCTCTTCCTTTCCTTGCACCCAGCTCAGCCAGATTTTGCAAAGCAGAAGTTGGGGTGTTGCAGCAAGATAAAACAACCTTTTCCTCTCTTAATCCCCCCCCTCTTTTCCATGTTTCTTATTCATTTCTGTCTCCCTTCAGCTAATTTTTCTGTGTCCCCCCCCCTTTACTTTCACTTCTTGGTTTCAAGACCTTCTCATCCCTATCCTGTTTGGAGATAGGCTGTATTTAAGAATAGTATAGTAGCGGCTTTCTGGGGAAAATAGTGACCTGCTAAGAAGCACTAATGTGGTGCTCCTGTGTTATAACTCACTGGGGAGTCTAAATTTAGATGCCAGTGAGAGAAAGGATTAATCTCACCCCTCCAGCAGGAGGCTCTTTGACAGGTGAATCTTTTCAGAACTGAATTCTTCAGATCTTGGCTGGTTTGGAGAACCAGGATAGTGAGTTAATGGCAGGCTTTTGTTGCCCTTAAGGTGACCTCCTTCCCTTCTTGGTAGTTAATATCTATGCCCCAAATCAGCAACAAGAATTTTTTTATAAAGCCCTACAAGAGACTCTTTCAACTCTAACATACGAAGAATTATGTGTAATTGGAGATTATAATGCTGTGTTTGATAGAGCTTTAGATAGAAAAAGCCAAACAGGGAAACAGAAACAGAAAAGAGGTAACGAATTGCGAAACACATTTCTTGTGTTCTAGCTGAAGAATTCACTTTGGTGGATGCCTGGAGAACTAGAAACATAAATAAAAAAGACTACACTTTTTCTCAACAAGGCACAAATCCTGGTCTAGATTGGATATGGCCTGAATTTCAACAAACATGATAAATGACATTAAAGAAGTAGAGATTCTTCCTTCAACATTTGCAGATCATAACCCTGTACTCTTAACTTTGCAAGATACCCCAAGAAGGAATAGATGGTCCATAAACCCACGGCTTTTTAAAAAATCAGACTTTTTAGCCAATTCAAAAAAAGAATTTCAAGAATTTTTTAAATTGAATATTCAACCTGATATTTTTATGGATATAGTCTGGGACACCTTTAAGGCCTACGCGAGTTTTATTACAGACAATACATCAAGATAAATCAGGCTTCTTGCCTAAGAGACAAATGAGAAATAATGTCAGAACTATCTGAGCTGTTAAAAGGATGACACCTCAAAACCCTGTATGATCAATGTATCTGTCTGTGCGGGATTTCGGTAGAAGATCTAACATATTACATTTTAGAATGCCCTCTGTATACCGGCCCCAGAATCAAATTTCTTAACCCAGTCCTAACAACTTTACAATCCACATCAGGCATTGAAATAGTAACCCTTTTGCTCTCTGAGAGCCTGTTTGGTGTAGTGGTTAAGTGTGCGGACTCTAATCTGGGAGAACCGGGTTTGATTCCCCTCTCCTCCACTTGCACCTGCTAATGTGACCTTGGGTGAGTCACAAGCTCTGGCACAGGTGTCCTTGAAAAAGAGCAGTTTGTGTCAGAGTTCTCTCAGCCTCACCCACCTCACAGGGTGTCTGTTGTGGGGAGGGTAAGGGTAAGGAGTTTGTAAGCCGCTCTGAGACTCCAAGTGAAGGGCGGGGTATAAATCCAATCTCTTCTTCAGACGTCAATCCCACTATCTCCTATAGAATGGCATTCTATGCTCATGCTGCAAGGAAAATTAGAGATAAGGCTACGGAATGACTGTACTTTCAGAATGTGCTATTTGAGAAACCTGATTTTAAAACTTATACTCATACTTCATCTATATATTTTAATTTTCTTCTAAATGTATTGCCAATCTTTGTACTGTTTTCTGTCTTTTATATTGTGATGGCCATTGGCTACATGCAATAAACTTTGAACTGAACTGACTGGCCCAAGGTCACCTAGCAACCTTCCATGGCATGAGTGGGGGTCTGCACCTGGATTTCCCAGATTCTAGTCCAACGCTTTAAGCACTACACCATGCTGGCTCTCGTGATGGAACAGCCTGTTGAATTTTTTTTTTACTGGATTGGTCATATATGCAAATTAAATACAATAAATTTTTCACTGTTTTTTCTTTTCCAGCCATTGAATACAAAGTCCCAAACTCTGTTCTGCTGCTTCAGACCAATACAGCTACCCACTGTAATCTATTTTCTGGCCGTTATGATTATTAATTTTATTTCATGATTATTAATGAAAATTATTTTGGGCCGTAGAGGAGGGGCCCTGACCTGGAAAGCCCCAGCCTAGCCTGATCTTGTCAGATCTCAGTAGTTAAGCAGAGCCAATGTGGAGGCCGGCAATGGCAAACCATCTCTGAAGGTCTCTTGCCTTGAAACCCCTATGAGGCTGCTGTGAGTCAGCTGAGAGTTGGTGGCAAAAAAACAACAACAGAAGGCGGTGTTAAAAATGATCCACTACAGGAGCCAAATAGGTTAGGTACACCCAGGGCTATTTTTGGGCAGGAACGCACAGGAACGGAGTTCTGGCTGGCTCCCAAATTGGCCACGCCCAGCAGGAACTCATTAGCATAATAGGCCACACCCAACAGCAGAAGCTCATTAGGATTGGCTACATTAGGGGTGTATGGCCTAACATGCAAAGGAGTTCCTGCTACAAAAAAAGCCCTGGGTTTTGACAACAAACAAGGTAAACAGAATAACAAGCAAAAGGTGGGTGTGGCTGGATGACCACACTTCTGGTAACATGGGGGTGCAGCCTAATGTGCTAATGAGCTGTTATGTCAGGGGTGTGGCCCAATATGCTAATGAGTTCCTGCTGTTGGGTGTGGCCTACTATGCTTATGAGTTCCTGCTGGGCTTTTTCTACAAAAAGAGCCCTGGGTACACCACTCCATAAGAGCATCAATGTACTCAAGGGTCTTGGCAGGCTCCAAGCCATCAGAAACAAGGGAGAAGACTGACATCACAACCTGGCCTGCATTGCCTCTAAACGGGTCCAAACCCCATATAAAGAGAATTTTTGATTGATAATATTAACATTCTGGTATGAAGCCCTAATGCTTAGGTGGCCTGAACCAGTTTCTTTTCTCTCACCCACAATTACTTAGAATATATTTCTTACTGAGAATCTTGAAAATGAAATATATGGTAGTATGCTTGCTGTTCCAACCAAAATTCCTGTACTTCAGCAATTTTCTGTATCTTGGTTTTCCATATTGTGATGCTACCTCAAGCTGTTATTGTAGGCACGGCTAGACTTAAGATCAAGGTATTCACTTTTAGATTAATTTAAAAAAGAAACCTACACTAAATCCCACAAATAAACACAGCACGCAAAAAGGAAGTATAAATGTTAAAAATACATGGATGCTCTTTAACCAGTCAATGACTCACAAATAGTATGATTCACTTAAAAGGATGACCACATGTTTTTCTAGCCGAACCTTCTTTTAATTCACTGTACCTTTTAGATTAAATCCTCGGCATTGAGTCACAGGGTTTCCATGCCTCACATCTTGTCTACGGCTTCTCCTAAAATGTTGAGAGGATAGGGGAAGAGACAAAATAGAAAAAAAATACTTCAAAATAGCTAATGCATATATAAAAAGCACTACTCACCAGGAGAAACAATGATGTCAACCAACTTTCTATAAACAATTACTATAAACAATTAGCTCTATAGAAGAAAACCACTATCATTAAAGTTATCGTGACTTCAAATAGATCAGGGTTGGACCTTCCAAGTGACTCTACATGACCCTGTACCAGAAAAGGTGAAAGTGATTTCTATTTCATCCAGACATCTGGCATTAGATAATTCCAGTGCTCTCATTTTTCAGAGATTACTACAAAACTTTGTGTTTGGAGAAGGGGAATGGCAATGGACCTACAGAACTGTGTTCTTTACCCATAATACATACATCAACATTGCTGCTCTTCCAATTTCATCCTTGGAGCTGTAGCTGTAGCTCAGGCTGTTTACTTAGGCTTTTCATGTAACACTGAAGTTCTGAGCAAAAATATTTTCTTTGGCATTAGACAACCTCTGCTATTCTGAATGGGAACAGTACCCACATTTTAACCCACTGAAGGCAACCATTGTGACTTATGCTGCACTTGAGAACTGCAAATATCTCCATTGTTTCTCTAGCTGGTGCTTCGCTGATTAATGGGAGATACTCAATGGATGGTGTAATGGCTTGGTGATGGAGACACAGGGATGCCTCTCAAAACAGCATCCTATGTCCAGTTCACCTTCTCTCTGCCATAATATGGAGGGCCACTTATCCTATGTTGTGGTATCACCACAATGTATTTCAGAACATAAAAAGAGCCATCCATGCTGGATCCGACCAGGGGCCCATCAAGTCCAACATTTTGTTTGTACAGTGGCTAGTCATGCCTCTAGGAAGCCCATGAGAAGGAGGACTGCAATAGCATCCTCCCGACTGTGCTCCCCAGCAACTGATATAAAGAGGCATACAGCCTCTGGTACTGGAGGGAGTAGATAGTGGCCATTATGACTAGTAGTTATTGATAGCCCCGTCCTCCATGGATTTGTCCACTGCCCTTTTAAAGCCTTTCATGTTGTCAGTCATCACCACATGTGTGAAGAAGTACTTCCTTTTGTTTATCCTGAATATCCCACACTTCAGTTCAGTGGATGACCCCAGGTTCTAATATTATGAGAAAGAGAAAATCTTCTCCCTGCCACCCTCTCTACATCATGCATAATTCTATAGACCTCTATCATGTCTCCCCTTTCTCACCTTTTTTTCTAAGTTAACCAGCCCTAAGTGTGTTCACTAATCCTTATAAGGCAGATGCTCTAGCCTCTGTTAGCAGTCAGACACCTCCTTTCTTGCTTTGTCTCTTTTAAAACTAATTTCCCTCAATTAAATAGGAGACTGCCTCTTTGGGTAACACCCTGATAATTTTAGATGCCATTTTCTGCATCTTTTCAAGCTCTAAAATCTTTTTTCAGATGCAGTGACCAGAATTGCACACAATATTTCAAGTGTGGTCTTACCATAGATTTCTATAAGGGCAGATTTATCCTCTATACATTTTCTAATTATGACTGGCATGGAATTTGCCACTTTCACAGCTGTTGCACACTGGGTTGATGTTTTCATCGAGCTATTCACTACCATACCAAGATCCCTTTCTTGGTCTTTCACTGTCACCTCAAATCCCACCAGTGTACATGTGCAGTTGGGATTTTTTGTTCCAATACAAATCACTTTACACATGCTCACACTGAATCATATTTGCCATTTTAATGGCCATTCCCCAGCTTGGAGAGATCCCTTTGGAGTTCTTTGCAGTTTTTGTTTTAAGTATCCTAAATAATTTAGTGTCATTCACAAACTTGGTTATCTCACTACTCGCCCCTAGCTCCAGGTCATTGATAAATAATTTAGTAAGGACCAGTCCCAGCACAGATCCCTGAAGAATCCTGCTGCTCACATCCCTCTATTATGAGAATTGACCATTTATTCCTAGTTTCTGCTTTCTGTTTTTAGCCAATTTCCAAAATGTAAAAGGACTTGTCTATCATGAATATCTCACTCTTCAGCTTCAGAGGACTTGTTCTCTTATCCTATGACTATGATGTTTGCCCAGGAGTCTTTCCCCACTCCTGCCAACAGCAACCCATAGTGTGGAGTTGGGTGCAGAAGCACAGAGCCAATATCGCAAAAGGGAGTGGACAATGTTCCAGAAGACTGGAAGAGAACTCATCACAAACATGCTGTTCTGCTGCAAGTAGCAGAATAAAATGTTGGCTCCTATGTCCTGCAATTGTGACACAATGCCCCTTTGCACAAATTTAAAGCTTGCAAGTTGAAGAAGTGGAATTTAAGATTACACTTTGTATGCATTAGATTATTGTGTAAGTGTAAAATAGTTAATATTATGTGGGAAGCCTCAGCAGGAAGATGACTGAATTTCTCAGGCTGGTTTCAAGAAATTATAAATGCTAATCACATCTGCCACAGATCAGGACATTGTAATAGGATCAGAAAACTGAAAACATTGAAAATTTCTGGAACTTGGGTAGTAGCCAAGTGGCTGACCCTAGATACCCCCCCCCCCAGTAGCTGCATTGTACATTCCTAGTTGGTGAGCAGCAATGATGCAGATGGTCTTTGAAGCAATTTTCAGATTGCATGCTGTTCCAACAATGTCCTTAGAAATATCAGCACTGTAAGTAACTGCTTAGATTCTGGCTGCAGTCAACCTGCATTGTCCACACACTTACACAGGCAAAAGTGTAACTGGTTCTCCTTTGTCTCCCTCAGAAAATGTTCAAAACTGGAGTGATGGACAGTCCTTAACGGATCCCTAGCAGAATTCTCAGCACTTCCACAGAATTCCACTCCAGTATTGCTGGAATGGGGGAGTGAAAATATTTGGGCAAAATATACTTTCTTTCCTCCAGGGTGGTCCTCCAATAAGACAACTCCATCAGGAGTCAGGCACCTCAGTTTGTAAAACATCCCAACAGAAGGCAAGAATTACTCCACTTTGTGTTAGGAAAGCAAACGGAGCAATTCAGAAATAGCACTTTCACTTTGCAACCACTCAGCTTTCGATGCTGATGCCAACACTTGACTTTGTTTGTCTGTCTCAAGACACACCCTAACCAAGGGGGAAAAAGACGTTTCTATGAGATTCAGACTGTTATAAATTCTGTCACTGCTTGTTTGCTCTTTCAAAACTCCTTTGCTGACTCAAAGTGGGCAGTTTATAGGGGCCTATATCCTATACAAAGAAGTAGAAACAGAGGTCATTTCGGGGGGGAACGCGGGGGAACGCAGTTCCCCCGGGTGAGGTGCAGGGGGCAGGGCACATGATGAAGCCCCGCCCCCTGCTTCCGGCCACCCCGCTTCCAGCCCTCATTCAGCCAGGAGGAGGCAGGAGAAGAGGGAGGGTAAGTTGCTTCCTCCCCGCCTCTCCCCACCCCTGCCTGCCTGGGGCCAGGGAGGGTCTTGGTGGGGCTTCCTCGCACTCCCGCTGGCCTTGCAGGTCCACCGCTGGGCCCCTGATGTCAGGGGGTGTGGCATATGCTAATGAGTTATGCTAATGAGTTCCCCTAGCTCTTTTTCTACGAAATGACCCCTGAGTAGAAACATTCAGCTGAGGATGTACTGTGGGCATATTTTGGATACAGGACATTATCAGATACTTTGATGTCTTGTTTGGGAAATGAAATTTTGTAGGAATCCAAAAGGCAGGGAAATAACAAGGCTGAGCAAATGCAGCCTGTAGAAAGAGTTACGGCTGTCTAGACTCGGGGGCTTGACTTGGCTCCCATTGTCAATGTTTTCTCAATCATAATCTGGTTTTTTTAAAAGATAAAGGAATAAACTATTTTCTAAACATAGGAAAACCAGACTTCAATCTGTATGCATGATTTTTTTTCTACTATAAAAAGCAAAGGATAAACAGACCATTATCCCAGGGAGATGTGTTTGTCTGCCAACATGATGGAAATATTAAGCAATCCCCAGAAGTTTGTAAACTTTTGACCAGGCCAAATTCACACACCTATGTTACACTTAGCAGATGCAATTGCCATCCTGTTGTCATCCCTTTCCAGAACAAACAGAGCCTCATCGAACCACAAAGGATTCTAATAACTGGTTGCCTCACATGAGGGTAATTTCAGAGAAGAGTCAAGTTGGTCTGCAGTAGAACAGCTACATTTGAGTCCAGTAATACTTTACATGCCAAAAATCTTGCTGGTCTCTAAGGTGCTCTAGCTCTGTACCATGCTTTCTAAAACTGCTCAGGAGTAGACATTGGATCTGAATTTTGACCTGGCCTTTTAGGAACGTCTAAAAATGTATTTGCACAAAACAGAATTTCATGTTGATGAATGCAGTCAGCTATTGTCATCCACATTTTTTAAAAATTAAAGGATGTATAGTACAAATCTTATTATCGTACATTTGAGATTAGGTTGGACTTTTCCTAGTGTCTTAGGTGGGTGTGGAAGAGGGGCAGAAATGCACGTTTGAAACACCAAATACAGCTCACCAGCCATGTACGGTGGCCCATCAGGGACTCACTAACAGTGCCATCTGAAGCAGAGTTACACCCTTCTAAGCAATGTTTCCTCTAAGCTCCCCAGTGCTGTGAACAAAAATTCTACCATGTGAGTGGAAAAACTAATAGCATTAAAATTGTGAGCAAGTCTATATTTGAATATCACATACATTAGTTTTTTAGATTATTTCCATAACCTTGTAAAAATGTCAAAACAAATTATTTTAAACTATATTTAAACTATATTTTAAGACTAATTTAAACAGTATAAGAGAAAACAGAATCAAGTCAAATTTCATTACAGAAAATGTTGTCCTCTATGGAGGTAGACCAAGCCTTCAGAGAACAGGTCTACCTGCCCCTTTCCACTATATTTGTACACCTGGCCACTGGAGAACTGGTCTACCCACCCCAGTCTACTATATTGGTTGACCTGGCCTCTGGAGAACAGGTCTGCCCAACCCTTTCCACTGTATTGGTAGACCTGACCTCTGGAGAACAGGTCTACCTGCCCCTTTCCACTATATTTGTACACCTGGCCACTGGAGAACTGGTCTACCCACCCCAGTCCACTATATTGGTAGACCTGGTCTGGAATCATTGCCCTGCGCCTTAGAAAACATACCAGCACTTGGGGGGGGGGGGACTCTTGCAGTCTACTTTGGTTTTTTAGTGAAATATTACAACCAGCATTAGAGGTCAAGTATAACAGAAGTGAAACAATCACTGTCAGAACCCTGCCTAATCTAACAAACCTAACAAACATGAAGTTGCTTAAATGTTATCAACCTGCCAAACTACTTATTGATTCAAATATGTATATCCCACTTTTCCTTGTGACTCAAGGCAGCTTACAAATCATACTGAAAAGCATAATAAAGGTTTGCAACCCCCCCCCCCATTTTTTCTGGCTCCATTATAGCCTATGGGGACCATTATAATCAATAGGCTATAATGGAGAATTGATCCAGGGTATCTGGGGCTTGGGGTTTGTTTGGCAGAGGCACCAAATTTTCAGCATAGCTGCTCGTGCCTCTCCTCAACCCCCCCAAGTTTTAAAAAGACTGGGCCAGGGGGTTCAATTCTATGGGCCCCTGAAGGAGGTGCACCCATTTTCCATTGTTTCCAATGGAGGGGAAAATGCTTTCTCAGTTCACTGGTGGGCTGAGGCTAAAATCCCTGAGCAGTCAGCTAAAATTTTGTGCTCCATCATTCCCTAGCACAACTCAAGAGGAACTTTGCTTCTAAGCCTATTGACTTCAGTGGACTTAGAAGGGCGCAACCATTTTGGATGGCCCTGTAAACCACCTCTTTTACTTCTTGGGACTTTTCTGCACTTCTTATTTTTGTGACTTGTGTGCCCATATTGCATTATTCTCCCCTTTTCCTCATATGTTTTGCTCCCTCTAGTGGTCGCATCAAAATTGCATCTCTGATTTATTTCCTGAACTTTTAAGATCATTAGGAATAAACCAGTGATATAGCAATGAAATATCAAAGCAACGACTAAAGGGAGCAAAATACATGCAGAAAAAAAAGATGCAATATAGGCCCACAAAAAATGAAATAATACATAGGGAAAAGCCTCTGCTTAGGGCTAGCAAGTCATGACCCTCCTGCCAAACACTAGAGCTCTGTTTGGAATTGCACCTTGTAAACCAACATATTTTGCCAAAAAAAAAAAACCCGGCAAATAGCTTGCTTTTTGTGACCCTAATTATAAGTTTAAGAAGGCCTTGGAAAATTCCATAACCACTGGCAGTGTCATGGGCTTTCCCACATAATGTCAAGTATAGGGATGCACAGATACATACTTTTTTGGATATTTATTTTAAAATTTGTAAGTTCACGTTTCTTCCAAAAATCTGGGATGCGAGGCGGGTAACAAGAAGTTAAAAGCAATCAAACCAGGGGTTGTTTCCTGCCGGAGTGCGGCAGAGCGGTGCTCTGGCAGAAAGGAGCCCAGGGCGCCCCCCGCCATTTCTGGCCCTACAGAGCCCCCTGCCGTCTTTCCCCTGAGCCTCTCCGCTCTGCAGAGAGACTCGGGGGAAGGGGGGATTTAAATGCCTGGGTTCCCTGCCCAATGTTCTCTAGGTACCCCGCAGCCAGGGAAGGGGGGGATTTAAATGCCTCAGGGAAGGGGGGGGATTCAAATGCGTTTCTTTCCCTTCCCCACATGGGGAAGGGAGAGAAAGGCATTCTAAACATGCCTGCCCTGTGTCAGGGAGTGTGGCATATGCAAATGAGTTATGCAAATGAGCTCCTGCACCTCTTTTTCTACGAAATGACCCCTGAATAAAACCCTAATTAAACTTCTATCAAAGATACACCAAATATATAGGAAGAGCTGCAATACAATTTCAGACATCTTTAGTGTTTGAAAGGCCAGCTCTGCCTTTCCCCAAGTTCTTTTTCCAAAAATCAAGATTTGGATGATTCTTTTATGCTGGTCTGATCTTTTTATTATACATGTTTTAACATCCATTGTTTAGCTGTCTAGGACATCTTTCTTTTAATTTATTAGATTTAGCTGTCTAGGACATCTTTCTTTTAATTTATTAGAATGTGCTTCCTTACATGAAATGCTAATACTCATTCTGCTTCCCTATCTTATATTGTTTTACTTTCATTCTCTAGGGCAAACTAGAAGAGGGAACATTCACCTCTCCTTTAAAGATCAATGGGGCTTACAAGGATTATGCCTGTCTTTTCCTCTTGGTGTCAGTGGTTACAGTTTACGAGTGATCGGCAGGTTGGGGGTGTTCCCCCCCATTGCATTGTAGAATGACAACACAAGAAACAGAGCAGATATTTTTGTGTTTCAACAGGAGGGATTTCACTGTTATGTACAAAGTTGGTTTGCACTGCAGCCCTGAAGGAAAACAAAATTGGCCATTACAACGCTGAGAAGAGTATATTAAAAAAAAACCTTTGACTTGATTCCTTTCAATAGAGAAACAATCATGTCTTATATTCTAATGGCAAAGTCGGACAAGCTTTGGATACATACATCCAGTGACTGAAGCTCTGAACAGGCAAGACAGATCTTTCTACAAACCTGAAAAGGGCCCTAGGTTTGCAGGAAAATGTGAAATCTAAACAAAATAAATTAGAGGTTTTAAAAAATCCAAAAACGATAAAAGGAGTGCCTGTAGTTTTAAGCAAGGGATTCCCTCTGTTGCTGTTCTAGGCAACAACAGTATTCTAGACTGGGCTTCAATGACTAAAAGGCAGTGGAGAGAGCAGGACCATTCTCAGGCCTTTGAAGGAAGACTCATTAGGGACAGGCCTGACTAGGTTTGCCAACTCCATGTTGGGAAATTCCTGGAGATTTTGTAATTGAGCCTGAGAAGGACAGGGTTGGGGAAAGGGAGAAGCCTAAGCTGGATATAATGCCTTGGGTCGAACCTCCAAAGCAGCCATTTTCTCCAGAGGAACTGTTGTTGGAGTTCAGTTGTAATTCTGGAATGTCTCCAGGTACCACCTGGAGGCTTGGTAACAACTTTTGAGTGACTTGATACCATTTGACTTGTATGACTGAGCTAGGTTTGATTGATTGCTATTGTTCAACAGAAGCCACCTTATAAAAGCCAGTGTGGTATAGTGATTAGAGCTTCAGAGTAGGGTCTGGGGAACCCAGTTTCAGATCCCCATCTTGCTGTGGAAGCTCACTGGGTGATTTTGGACCAGTCACATACTTTCAGCCTAATCTACTTCACAGAGATGTTGTGTGAATAAAAAAGAGAAAACAGTATATGCTGCTTTGGTCTGCACTGTGGAGAGAGGCAGGGTATCAATGAAGTAAATAAATAATAAATATAGCTGAAGATGGGAGACAGACACAATGTAGGTTGGTGAATGGCTGAGAAGGAGAAAATGGGGCAGGGAACTGTGGCACCACACAACTGGGGTGGAGAGGGAAAGCTTTAGACAGAGGGACAGACAAAGGTAGGTAGGCTATAGGGTGGGAAGGAGATAGGGTTCCAACTACAGGTTAGGAAATTCCTGTAGATTTGGAGGTGGGGTTTGAGGAGGGAAAGGACATCAGAAGGGTATAATGCCATAGACTCCACCCTCCAAAGCAGCCATTTTTTCCATGGGGAACTAGGGTTGACAACTTCCACATGGGGGCTAGAAATCACCCAGAATTACAACTGCTCTCCAGATGACAGAGATCACTTTCCCCTTTCAAAAGCGGGAAAGAGGAAATAGTGGGGGAGGAGAAATGATATGCTTCCAGCAAGTCCTTTCAGGTTCCCATTTGTTATTTCTAAAACTTATTTATCTGTCAATGTAAACCTTCACAGGAAAAATAAAGATTATTTTCTTCGTGAAACCAAATAATGGCTTAAATGAAATGATGACATAATGTCAAATAGTTTAAAAGTACTACTACAGATTACTTGAGGGATATTCCCTGAATTCCTGAGGGAAGGCACACAAAATTGACTATTTCCTCTACAACTGCCACAATAAATCCCAGCAGGGGACTACTACCCACCTAGGTCACAAATAAATGAAGATGAAGAAAGAATGTTACCCCCTTCCTGAATAATAGGATAAATTATAAATTTTAACCATCTTAAAAAGAGAAAAAAATGTCATACCAATACTTGTTTCCTTCTCAAACTTAGTTTGGGAGATGTACAGGTACATTGGTGCTCATCCTGTACCACAACATTAAGGATTTTAATCCAATGGGGAAATGTGAAAATTTCTTTTGAGGACTACATTGCCCAGGGTGCATCAGGGTTGCCAAGTCTGGGTTGGAAAATGCCTGGAGACTTTGGAGAGGAGAAGGTGGGATTTGGGAAGGGGAGGGGGCCTTAGCCTGGTACAATGCCATAGAGTCCACCCTTCAGAGCAGCCATTTTCTCCAGGGGAGCTATCTCTGGCAGCTGGAGATCAGTTGTAAAAGCGGGAGATCCCCCCGCCCCAGCTGAGAGCTGGCAACCCTATCAGTATTGCTGACAAAACCAGTCAAGGTGGAGGGGAAAGAAGTAAGCTTCTGTCTAGTGATCTAAACTGGAGAAGAACTCAGGGCTGCTTTACTGAGATGATGTGAGTGAAGCAGTTTGACCACTGAAAGTTTGACCACTGCTAAGTAATTAGCAGATACACTTGGTAGCTACACCATGCCAACAGAAAAGATAACAGTGAAAATGTCCTTCCAATAACATATTTCACTCCCAGCAAATGAATTTGAGGTTAAATCTAGACTTGCAAATCTCATCCCACTAATTTATACATACCTTTTCCCTGTTGGGTAGAACCTGGAGCAGGAATTGCCATCCCAAGCACAGTACGGGTCTCTAGCAAGGCAACAATCGGCACACGCTGTCCCGTAGATATGGCAGCGGTGCAAGGAAACTTGAGTCACCCCTTCATCCGAGCTCACGTACAACTGTTGCTGTTTAAAAGGAAACAGAGAGATTTATTTCAGGAGCTGAGATTAGAAAGAGAACGTGGACAGGATGCAGCTAAAAGATGCCTAAGCTCTCCCATTCATATGGAATTAATGAAGAAACCAAGAAGTGAGCAACTAACAGGTTGACGTCCAAAACAAACAGAGGGGTCCCTCAGGTTAATATGGGGATAATATTATACCTTCCTGTGAGGAAATACTTAGGGAAGATATTAATGCTTTTTGGACATTGGAGTTCATTGTTTCATTCGATCATAAAGAGAGCTTAGTAATCTGATATCTTGCTTCTTCCTGGGCATTTTCCTTGCTTTCTAAGAAGACGAAGGAGAACAATTTTTGCTATGTCTATAGTACTATTTGGGCAATTGTATTATGGTAACATGCCACTACACATTTAGGACTGAATGTCAGGAGTAAGTAACCTCCAGTGTATGGACCGAACAGCAGCACAGTAGACCATTTTGCTAGATATGCAGCGTTATTCTCCACCCAAACAACTGAGGCAAGGTCCTCCTGGGCAGCTGGCAGAACTGCTGGGGCAAGAAGCACGGAAGGAGGAAAGGGACATAACGTATGCCACTTGTACCCTTCACTGCCCCCTGAACCCATATTGAGTCCCTGAAAGTGTTTTTTTTGGGGGGGAACACATGGGCCAAAAATGTCATCTTGTCTGGAATGGCTACACAGATTTATTCCATGACCTGTATGTACAGACGTTTTCAGGTTGCACTGATTTTAGGGACAGAGATTCAAGCATTTGCTTTAACTTTCCCGTTGGTGGTAGCAGTGTTTATTATTGGCTGGATTGGGTGTCATTAATACTCTTAATCCAGTGTGTATAAGGTGGTCTATAAGAAAGAGATGAATTTGGCTTTGGAAAAGACTCCACTTTGTTATGAAGCTTCGGCTTTGGAAAAGACTCCACTTTGTTATGAAGCTTCGGCTTTAGTTGGAAGGCAATGAGCCATCCATCTCAGGGAGAACACCAGCAAGGGCAGATCATCTTGTGCACAACTGGATGTAAATGCTGCTCCTGCTAGACTGATCTCTCCCTTCTATCTTTCCTTTCTACTCCCTTTCTCTTGTGAGTCTTTTATTTTTAACTTATAAAGCTAAGGGAACAAACAAGGGTCTTGTCGCTTGATTGATGGAAACCAATGTGAGAGGTAGTTATCAGAAAAGCAGAATTTAAATGAAGTAACTAAGAAGTTTTCCACGTGCTTATGTAGCTTTTCTGTTGCTGTTGCAGCTGCTAATACAGTGCAGTGAAGACAGGGCCTCCAAATAGTAAGTTTCCCTGCTAGTTTTTTCAATTGGTTATATAATAGTGTTATATTGATATACTGCAATAACAAAATATGTATTAGATTCTCTGAGTTCTATCCCATTTTTGCTGCTGAGGCGTGCTTTTTTCCATATATCTGCTCTAGGAAAGAGACTAGAGATTTACTTTTTAAAAAATGAAAGCTGGGAATTCAGAGAACCTGATGCATATTGTGCTGTAATGCTATTAAATCATCAATTGAAAAATAAAAATGAAAACCCTCAGCAGTAGGGAGAAGAGCTACCCCAGGAAAAATGGCTGCTGTGCAGGTGGGATTAGGAAAATCTGATTTTTTCCACCCATATTGTAGCCACCTGGACTTGCTGCAATGTTTGCCAAAACTCTGGAGCAAAGCAGTTTGAGAAATATTGGAGAAAAGCTAGGAAATGCCTGGGAGATGCACAAAGCAAGGGGAAAAAAACCACTTTCCAACAGCAATGAATTGGACGCAAATAACCCATGTGGAAACACCCTAAGTAAATTTAATTGGGCAGGTCACTCTCTCACAAGGATATGGTACAATCTTCCAGCAAAATAAAGATGACCAATGGCACCTTGAAGATCAACAAAATTTATACCAGCATCAGTTTTCATGAGTCAGAGCTGAGATCAACAGATACATTTATACTGTGCTTCATACATCTGATGAAGTAAGCTCTGACTGAAAAAGCTGATGGTAGAATAAATTTTGTTAGTCTTTAAGGTGTCAATGAATCCCTCTTTATTTTGCTGCTACAGACTTAATATGGTTTACCCATAGAGAATTATTAAAATCTCCTTCAATGATTGTGATAGGATAGAAAAGAAATTATGATAAAATCACTGAAAATGATACATGTCGGCATATATTGTACTGAAACCAATCCTGACTGCTGAGCAGCATATATCCTAATAGCCAACTACACCCTAATCTGTGGATACATAAATTTGTGGATCAGGGTCAGGTGGAGAGAAAGGAGGTTTTTCTACAAACATAGAGTTATGCAAAAAAATTAAAAAGTACCCAACATGGATGGGTGTGTGTGTTACAATCTCTGCTTGTGCAGAACTGCCACTGCTGCCAGTCCTGCCTCTCCTCTGAGGCGATGAGGCAGCAACAACGAGGGCAGAGGATCTGGTGTGTGTGTGTGGGAGGGCGGGGGCGGGGGGGGCGGAAGAAGTGCCACTGCCACCGTGAGTCCCACCATTGTTCCCTCTCCTCAGCAGCCTCTGAGGCACAGAGGTGATGGAACCGTGGGCAGCCCTCTGTGGCTGCAGCCAACACCACGTGGCCTTCTTCTGCCACTAGACTGTATGAGGTTGATGTGCTGCCGATACTAGGCAGCCCTCTGTGGCTGCCACTGATGCCAGGCAGCCTTCTTCCACCACTGCTCACAAGAGGACGGTGTGGACTCCTGTGAGGGAGCAGGCGGTGACAGGACTGTCTGGCTCACTGCGGTGGAGTTGCCATCAGGTGGCCTCCTGTGCGTGCTGCAAAAGCCAGGTGACCCAGTCTGGTAGCCATTGATGCAAGGTGGTCTTCTCCTGCTGCCAGGTCACAACAGGCAGGCACAGGCCCTGGTGAGGGAACTGGGCAGATGGGTCCAGAGTCACCCTGGCCAGAACAGGACTGATGGTGTGGCAGGCTGGGTAAAGTGGGCCATGAGAGGCACCCCCCCCCCCCAGCAACTGCAGACAGCCCCCATGAGTCCAGGACAATCCAGCAGCAGGCATGATCCAAGTAATTGATGGGGGGGGGGAGGAGAGAAAGAAAGCGGAATGGGGGGGGAGATGAGATGGGGATGGAGTAAGAGGGAGAAAGTGAGAGAGAAAGTGACAAGAGGTGTGGAGGAGGGAGAAAGATAGAGAAAGACAGAGACATAAACTAAGAGAAGGCGTGGGGAAGGCAGAGAGAGAGAGGGGTGTGGGAGTGAGGATTGAGCAAACATGAGTGAATGGGATGGCTGTTTCCAGAAGTTCCTTGTGGGTCCCCACTTGTTAACTAAGTAATACTTTTTTTTTTTTTTTTTTTACCTTTTTAGATGAAATGGCCATTGTTGTTATAGGTGCATTATTCTGCAAGGCAAAAAAGAGAGTTATACTTCGATATTCTCATATTTTTGACTATGTTACAATTACAGTAACCTAAATATAATGGTATGTTCTTACGGAGATACAATTCACACGTCATCATTCTCAGGGGCTGCACAGTGTTTGACATCTCTAAATCGTCTCAGTCACTATGCCGTATGTGTGAACCCTGTGATGTGATTGCATTAAACTCCTCAACACAAACACTTGCGTGGTCTAGACAGTCTGAGAGGAACAGCCCTTTAAGAGCCACATCACCAATGAAGACAGGCTGCTCGCCCCCTTCAAACTGTCTCTTTCATTTTTGTCACAAATCCCTGTATTTATGTTTGGGAGATGATACCATGCAGCATTTTGTCTCACAGCTCATATTTAATTAGCCTGTAAGCAGAATGAAGGGAATATCTAATATTTTCTGCACCCGACACCCAGCACTGAATGCGGTTTGGTGCCACAGTTTTAGATTATCACTGCTAAATGTCAGTGTTAAAAATGAAGTGCTGGCCCACTTGACATTTTGTTTTGAGTTTGACTTATCCAAATGACACATCAAGCCGGCTAGAATGCTGCTTTCCCCCTTTGTTGGGTAAAAGGGCACTCGGAAGTGTTAATAGGCATGTTATGTTAAATGACAAAGCTAACATTTCCTCAATTTTTTTTAAAAAAATCATGATAATGGGAAAACAGTGTAACTCATTCTTCTGACACTCGTGGATTAAGGAGAATAATCACAAGAGAAAAATGAAGTTATGGCAAATCTGGTTTTACTGCATCTAGCTACACAGAACATTTGGACCAGAATAGACCAGGGAGGGGCCAAAGGTAGACCAAAGCACATGGGTGGGCCACCAGTCAATTTCTGGATGATCTAGCATCTTCCAGTTGCTGTTAGTCTCTCAATGAATGCTCCACTACATGGATGCTCCATGGCACTAAGGTGATTTAGCACCCTCCTCAGCATGTAGCCCCAAGCAGTGGCTTGGCTGGCTTGGCTGGAGAACCAGCTCCGAGTCTACTTCATCGGATTTTCACATACAAAAGCTTATGCTGCAATAAATTAGTTAATGCTGGTTCATGTCACATCTCTAGGATGTCTGTTTAGAATGCTGATGGGTGAGGATCTCTCCCATTGACCAGAATCCCAGACAATTAATAAGTCAAGAGAGGCTTTCTAGTGCTTGCCTTACACTCTCTCAGGAGAAACACTGAGGAGCAGTTAGCACCACTTTTGCCTCTCCACATCTGTCCTCAGCACTAACAGCTGTTCACTGTTTGGTGTGACAATCAGGCTATTTGGCTTCTGTCAGATGACACGGTGGCTGTCTCAGCAAAGCTCTTGGCTACCCCAGGTTCTAACAGTTAATATTTCTGAAAACTACCCCAGACAAAAGCAGATGGAGGGAATCCTACAGCTGATAGCCACCTTTCTCTGACATTTTTTGTCTTTGTTTGCCTTTTAGACACTGGTTGGGGAGGGGGGATCAGGGAGAAGGCTGTCAGTGGCTCTTTGATCCCATCTATGTTTTTCTCTGCTTGTCTTTGAAGACCCTTTTAGAATTCTTAACAGTCAGAACCCGGCTGACCTGTGGCTACTTTTCACATGAGCACAGCCATATTTATAAAGATAGCCCAACTTCTGGTGATAGGTGGAAAGGAAGGGTGGACTGTGAAAGAGTGGGAGAGAGCCAGCGGTAAACCAGTAAGTTCCTCTTGCCTCACAGACTGTGGATGGGAAGCTCCACTGCTTCTCAGTACTTCAAGCAACTAGGAAAGAACGCCTGACATGTGGTGGAATAATGCATTCATTGGGACACAGCCTTTGAAGTACAAGATGACTCACTGGGCTCTTCCACATTTTAATTTTCATTGCTTGACTATCCCAATTGCTTCAGGTTTTCTTTCTTTTCCGCGCACATTTTGATCCCTTGATTTTTTAGATGGAGTGAAGCACGAATTGCAAGCTCCCTCTAGTAGTCAATTTGGTATTACATTGCTGTATGTCCAGCATAAACTGCAGGGGAATATGCTGGACATACAGTGATGTAATATTACATTGACCACTAGAGGGAGCAAAACACATTCAGAAAAGGAAAAAAAAATCTGAAGCAACAGGGACACACAAACAACAAAAATGAGAATGTGAAAGAGTCCATTGTTTTTGCAACATGGCTGCTTTTCTAATCTTTATATGCAGTTACAGAGGGATTTAGCAAAAAGACTGACAGGACATTTGGTGGCTTTTCCTTCACAATTATTCATCCATCTTTGCAGGTTAGGCTGATTCAGGCGTATGGCTTTCCAATACCAGTAAAACCTGAGATTTAGAAAATTATAGGAAAGCATAAACAAGGCTGTTTCGCTTGAGATCAATAGCTGGGCGTCAATGAGCTTATCGGATAACCAAAAAGCAAGAGAATTTGGTGTCCTACTGCAAGCCATCACAAGTGAGAGAAAGCTCTTACTTCTGGCAGCCATCGCAACATGGAAAAAGAAGCAGTTACTGAAATCCTTTAAGTCAGGATGACAACATAAGAAACAGTAAGCCATTTAAATGCATATTAAATACATTTAAGGATATTGTTTCACAATAAAAAGGTTACAGTCTTCTAAAAGTTCCATCGCTCTTCTATCAAAGCCATTTCAACTTAAGCCAAGCTCCTTTAGATCAGAATTGTCTATGCAAGTGAACACACAGAAGTGAGAAGAATCAGTGTGAGCAAGACACACCTGGAAAACTTCCAGTTCTTCTAATATGACCTCGCCGCTTGCTGTGGAATTGCTGGGCAGGACTACAACCTTCTGAACTGTGCCTTGGTCTGGAACAGAGAAAGAGTGGGAGAAGGAAACACAGAATGAAAAATAAAATGAGATCAGAACAGTTGGGAAGACCACAGTAGAGAAAATTGCATAACAGAGAAAAGAATAGGGGAGATGCCAAAACACACAAAGAACGGGGGCAAAGGTTCAGAGATCAGGCACATGCAAGCTGTGCACACACACACAATTTTTACAATGGAGAACATCTCGTATTGTACCTTTTTTCTTCTTATCTAACAAAAGACTTGTGATTTCCTAAGATGCAAACAAATTTCCTTTAACTGAACACATTTACAAAGATTAATCCAGTACATAATGTATTTATTATTATTTATATTGTTTTCTATTTATAACTCGCCTTTCCTGCACAGGCAGGCTGCTATACAAACCCATGTCTGCAAATATGCATTACAATTCCCAATTCCATTCTGGAATTCTATTAAATCGGTTAACGTGGGTAATTTGGTCACAGAAAAGGTTTCCCTGAGTAAGCACATATCATGCAACATGTGATTTTTAATAATATTTCAACATATAAAAATTAATATGGTAATTGGCCCAGCATTCTGTTCTTCAGGGAACATAAGAACAGCCATGATGGAATACATCAACAGTCCCTGAAGTCCAGTATTCTTATTCATGCAATGGCAAGCTGGATGCTACTGCAAAGCTTACAAGGTGGGAGCTGCCCCAAGGAGTTGGGATGTGGAAGAGCTGGATGTTTCCCCACCGCCCCCTAATTCACCACTGTCAGATTTCTCCTTCCAAACAGTTTTAGCAGCTGCTCTGGTTTTGGCAGCGCTAATAGCTCTTCTGCCTCCGAGTCCACTGCCAAGAACACATCGGGAAAACAGGCTCTGCCTCTGAGACCCCTGGTGACACCCCAGTACAGCTGGGCACCAGTGGGCTGGCAGGATGTTCCACAGGGATGGGGCCTGTAGAATGGAGGGTGGACTGCAATGAGCACCCCTGTCCCCTACTCTCACCATCATGGCAAAGAGGGGTGTTGACAATTAGGCAGGAGGGTGAGCTCCTCTGCCTGGCTGTAGCAGAGGGACAGGTGGAGGCTCAGAGCCCCGAGCCCCCCGGACACCTCACCAGCGGGGGACAGGTGTTCAAAAAGACTCCCACTGATGGGGACTGTGCAGATCCTTAGCCAAGGAACCCTCTGGCTGAGCCCCTCTGCCTGGCTGTAGCAGAGGGACAGGTGGTGGCTCAGAGCCCTGAACTCACCAGATACCGCCCCAGCTGGGGTCAGGTGTGCAAAACTCCCACTAAAGGGGAGGTTTGGTGTGGGTCCTCAGTCGAGGAACCCTCTGGCTGAGCCAGTCTGTCTGTCTGTAGCAGAGGGACAGGTGGTGGCTCACTCACAGCCCTGAGTAAGCAGGCACCAAAGACACCCAACCCCACTGTTTTCACACTGAGGGATCTTCGTTTCTTTTCCTTTCCTCTCTGCCTCTTACTTCTCTGACTAACTACCTGCTGCCAAGTAAACAGAGCTGTGTGTGAGCTGGGGGTATACATTCTGCTCCTATAGAGCAAATGGTAAGAAGAGCTCAATCTTTACCCCAGACCATTTACAAATAGCAATTTGTTAGGGAACTCACCACTTACTTCCCTTCAGGGTAAGAACTGCCCATTTACTCCTACTCTTGGCTACCTGCATTTAAGTAGTTTCTGACTCATGGGAGGACTGCCCTTTTGCCCCATGACTACTAAGTTTACTCAGGAGCTTTTTTATTATTTAAATTTTTATTGTTTCAATACAGTACATCAACAAGCTTTCACGTAAATAACACATTGATTTGGTTAGCTGAACTTTAACTATGGCATTAACAAAACGTACAGCATACATATACTGTTTCACCATTATGATCTCGAGTGCCTGCCTCTGTAAATCAGAAATACAGTAACTCCTGATATTGTTTGTTTTTGGGGATAATTTCTCCCTCTGCAAGGTATTGAACTACTGGGAACCATATAGCTTGGAATATTTTCTGATAGGAGTTAGTGTTCCAGTACATTTGTCAGTTCACTATTTTACCATGAACAAAATGTTCCCATATTTTATTTTGCCAATATGACAAGGTAGGAATAGATTTTTATTTCAATTTCTGTGCAAGTGTTATTCTAGCTATTGCTAATAAAGTAGATATTAATATAATTGTTATGTTTCCTTTACAGGTTTTCGGGAATACATCTAGCAACACTGTCTCTGGTAATGCAGGTACGTTGTATCCTGTAATAACTGAGATTTGTAAGAGGACTTGGGTCCAGAACTGCTGAACGTATGGACAAGACCACCAACAGTGTAGGAAGTTGCCTATTTGGCCACAGTTTTTTCAGCAGTATTTGTTAATTTTTGGGTTAATCCTGTGTAATCTTGCTGGCGTTAGGTACCAGCGGTTTAATGTTTTAAAAGTATTCAGTCTAATGCAGAAAATCTTCAAGGATAAACTAGGTGAACTCCAGATTTCTTTCCAGTCTTCTGGTTGTATCCTGTTTTGGCAATCGTCCTTCCATTGGAGTTGTGAATTCAGGACATTATATTTCAATTCTGTGTTTAGAATTGTATAGATTTTTGATATTAATCCTTTGCAGGGCCGGCCCCAGCTTTTTTTTTGCAGACTAGGCGAGGATACCTTCTGGTGCCTCCCCCCCCCCAGTGCACCCACAAATTTTCAAACAACTGCATTTTAGGATCCATTTTGAAAATGCTAACAGATGGGGAAAAGATCTGCATGCCGTGTACAACTGTTTGGGCACATCTGTTCCCCACCAAACATCTCAAAAGCCTCATGTCTTAATTCTGAGAAGCCTGAAAAAACAGAAACCTTTTCTTCTGCCTCTAAAAAAAGCTTGATGTGCTCTCTGGGACATAACCTTGCAAAGCATCTCTGCCCTTAGAAGCTGCCCAAGCTGTGTCTGCAGAAGATGGCACACTAAATACTTGGATGGGAGACCTCCTTGGAATGCCAGCAGTTGGGAGACGGGGGCAGGCTTTATTCATGTTTTATTTATACCTCTCTGAATATCCTCCAGGCCCCCAGTAGGGGTCAGTAACCAGAGGTCACCATAACTTTCAGGGGCACACACACTTATACATATGAAAAAATCCAAAAAAACAAACAAACCCCAAACATAAGAAGGGAAGAAAATGGTTTCGGGCTTCCCTTCCATGGCATTTTTACCACCAGAAATGATGTTGGGGGGCCTGTTTGCCCCTTCTTCTGGCACATGTCCATAGCACATGGAGCCTGAGGAAGGGACAGTCAGCCCCCCACCCTGGTACCATTTCTGGTGGCAAAATCCTGCAGGAGGGAAGCCAAAAGCTCTCCCTTGCCCAAGCCCAAACAGAGTGAGAGTTTTTGAATGATTAGTATGTATTGTGTACTCACTACAATAATTTCCCTACTGCAAGATGTTACAACTGAAGATGCAACAACAGAGGTAATAAGGCTGGTAAGGTGCGTATCCATTTCTTTTGTTTCACTGTTATCAAGCATGTCCTGCAGGAATTTGAAGCAGTGGAGAAAACCTGTAAGACCTGTTTCACCAGAGATAATACAGCAACCCATATTTACCTCGGAGGGGGGAGTCTTATGTCTCCTGTACTACCCAAAACACTTGCTAGATGTTACCTGTATCTGAAGAGCAGTGTTCCCTCTAAGCCTCCAGCTCATACATTTTCATCTTAGCTCAGGAAGGGATGACTCCAGAGCAAACTAATGTATGCAGCAACTAAGTCAATCGCTCACAACTTTAATGCCAATAGCTCACAAAATAGAATTTTTGCTCACAAGATTCCACAACTTAGCACGGACCCTGGTGCTCTTGCTGGCAATTCTCTGCAACCGGGCTGTGTCGTCCAGAAGGGATCAACCCAACAGACAGAGGAATGGTGAGAAGCGAAGCTGGGGCAGCCCACTGGAAAGGAAATGTGGGAAGGGAGGAGCCCTGGAGACCGCAGGAGTGAGGAAAGGCAGAGGCAGGAGCAACCGAGAGGAAGGCAGCAAGGACAAGGGGCAGCAAGACGAGGGCCTCCCTCATGCCCACTCTCACACACCCTTTGCATGGCTTTCACGATCAAAGCCAGCTCATAGCGGGGCATCGTTTGAGATGGGGCTCAGGATCCTGAGAGCAGGAGAAAGCAGCTGTGCAAGAGGCATAGAGATGACTACAGCGCCCCCCCCCCCGATCTGGTCCCAGGGTGTACAGACAAGGTGTGTCGCTGTTTAAAAGGCGCCGCCAGCAGCACACACTGCCTGGGGCCGCCCCCTTCTGCTCTCGTCAGGCGCCATGGCTGCTTCGCGCTTTCCTTCTCCCCCCTGACTCCACTCCTCTCTTCTCCCTCCCTCCTCCACCCCTTCCTCGCTGAGCCAAGTGGTTCCCTTTCCTGCCCAGCTCCTCATTGCTCGTCGCTTCGAGTGGATGGCGGTGGGAGAGGGAAGTGTTCCCTCTAAGCCTCCAGCTCACACATTTTCATCTTTGCTCAGGAAGGGATGGCTCCAGAGCAAACTAATGTAGGCTTTTGGCAGGGGGGGCGGTCTGGGTGAGGTATGGCGCCCTGATGATCAGCCCGCTCTAGGTGAATGTCTAGTTCGCCTAGTGAGCGGGCCGGCCCTGATCCTTTGGTATCTCTGTTTCTGTGTTTAATTAGTAGTTCAAAATTCGAAAAAGATGGTAAAGGTGTTTTGCTGGAAAGCCGGTCTTGTAGTAGGTGTTGAACCAGGAGGTATTGGAACCAGGGAATCTGCTCTCTGACTTTCTCTTCCAAAGCCACTTTGGTAAGTGGGATACCGTTGTCAGTGAGGTCTATTAAATGAGTAAGTCTAGCTAGTTTCCATTTTCTAAACGTTCTTTCCTCCTTTCCCGGGGGGAACCATTCTTGGTTGAGATATGACATTAGGAGTGATTTTCCGGGTATCAGTGATGCCTTGCGCCTATCCTAAGATTTCTAGGGCCGCAGTAAGATAAGGGTTTATCATGGATTTCGTTG